CACTGTACAAATACTCATTAAGCTGGGTGAGCGTACTGCCAGTCTATCATGTACACTGTAGCCTGCTTATTAAGCTCGGTGAGCGTACTGCCACTCTATCATGTACACTCTAGCCTGCTTATGAAGCTGAGTGCGTGTACTGGCAGTCTATAATGTGGACTCTTGCCTGGTTATTATAATCGATTCTTTATATGTTCTTTGTACAAACAGTCATTAAGCTGCTTGAGCTACCCCAGTTCGATTCCAACTCACGCCCACCACCGCTGACGATTATTTGAAACGGACCTGGCCCTCCCCTAGGTCCACTCAACCTCAAACGCGTAACTGCTGTCGTGTGTGAACATCGTCACTGGGGAGACAAAGGCGGCGGGGCATCGTGGATCCAAGTCCCGGGCGAAGCCGAGTCATGTGTATGTGTGTTTGTGTTTATGTGTATGTCTGTGTGTCTCTATGTATGTGTGTATGTATGTGTATGTATGTGTTTGTGTGTATGTGTGTGTGTATGTATGTGGGTTTTTTTTATGTCTTTATGTGTATGTCTGCGTGTCTCTATGTATGTGTGTATGTACGTGTGTGCATGTGTTTGTGTGTATGTATGTGTGTGTCTATGTATGTGTGTGTATGTGTTTTTGTGTATGTATGTGTGTGTATGTATGTGTGTTATGTGTCTGTCTGTGTCTGCATGTATGTGTGTGTGTATTGTGTATGTGTTTGTGTGCATGTATGTGTGTGTTTGTGTGTATGTGTATGTCTGTGTGTATGTATGTGTGTGTATGTGTGTGTATGTGTTTGTGTGTATGTGTGTGTATGTGTTTGTATGTGTTTGTGTGTTTACGCTCGCATTACACAAATGTGTTGCTGGTCTAAGGCGTTCCTCGCACAGCATTGCCGCTTTATTTTTTCAGTCGTTTACTGCCTTACGCACCCTGAAAGTCGTGTGTGTCTGCAGCAAGCGCGTGTATGTGTACCTATGGACGCGCGCGCGTGTGTTGTGTAGGGGGAACGGTAGTGTAGTGCTTAGCGTGCTGTCTGTGTCTGTCTGTGTGTGTGTCTGTCTGTGTGTGTCTGCGTGTGTCTGTGTGTGTGTCTGTGTGTGTGCGTGTGTGGTGTGTGGGGAGCGGTAGTGTAGTGCTTAGCGTGCTGTCTGTGTGTCTGTGTGTGTGTGTGTGTGTCTGTCTGTGTCTGTCTGTGTGTGTCTGCGTGTGTCTGTGTGTGTGTCTGTGCGTGTGTGGTGTGTGAGGAGCGGTGGGTGTAGTGCTTAACGCTACGCTGCGCTACCAACCCGGCGAACCGAGTTCGATTCCCGCTCACGGCCACCACCGGTGACGATTATTTGAACCTCCCCTAGGTCCACTCAGCCTCAAACGAGTAACTGGTGTGGCGTATTAACATCGGCACTTGGGAGACAAAGGCGGCCGGGCGTGGTAGATCCAAGTCCCGGGCGAAGCCGGGTCATGTGTATGTGTTTATGTGTATGTCTGTGTGTCTGTATGCATGTGTGTATGTATGTGTTTGTGTGTATGTCTGTGTGTGTATGTATGTGGGTTTTTTTGTATGTGTTTATGTCTATGTCTGTGTGTCTGTATGTGTGTATGTACGTGTGTGTATGTGTTTGTGTGTATGTATGTGTGTGTGTATGTATGTGTGTATGTGTTTCTGTGTATGTATGTGTGTTATGTGTGTCTCTGTGTGTCTGCATGTATGTCTGTGTGTATTGTGTATGTGTTTGTGTGTATGTATGTGTGTGTTTGTGTGTATGTGTATGTCTGTGTGTATGTATGTGTGTGTATGTGTTTGTGTGTATGTGTGTGTGTGTATGTGTTTGTATGTCTTTGTGTGTTTACGCTCGCATTACACAAATGTGTTGCAGGTCTAAGGCGTTCCTCGCGCAGCATTGCCGCTTTATTATTGCAGTCGTTTACTGCCGTGCGCACCCTGAAAGTCGTGTGTGTCTGCAGCAAGCGCGTGTATGTGTTCCTATGGACGCGCGCGCGTGTGTTGTGTAGGGGGAACGGTAGTGTAGTGCTTAGCGTGCTGTCTGTGTGTCTGTGTGTGTGTGTGTCTGTCTGTGTCTGTCTGTGTGTGTCTGCGTGTGTCTGTGTGTGTGTCTGTGTGTGTGTCTGTGCGTGTGTGGTGTGTGAGGAGCGGTGGGTGTAGTGCTTAACGCTACGCTGCGCTACCAACCCGGCGAACCGAGTTCGATTCCCGCTCACGGCCACCACCGGTGACGATTATTTGAACCTCCCCTAGGTCGACTCAGCCTCAAACGAGTAACTGGTATTGCGTATTAACATCGGCACTGGGGAGACAAAGGCGGCCGGGCGTGGTGGATCCAAGTCCCGGGCGAAGCCGGGTCATGTGTATGTGTGTATGTGTTTATGTGTATGTCTGTGTGTCTGTATGCATGTGTGTATGTATGTGTGTGCATGTGTTTGTGTGTATGTATGTGTGTGTGTATGTATGTGGGTTTTTTTGTATGTGTTTATGTGTATGTCTGCGTGCCTGTATGTATGTGTGTATGTACGTCTGTGGATGTGTATGTGTGTGTCTATGTATGTGTGTGTATGTGTTTCTGTGTTTGTATGTGTGTGTATGTATGTGTGTTATGTGTCTGTCTGTGTGTCTGCATGTATGTGTGTGTGTATTGTGTATGTGTTCGTGTGTGTTTGTGTGTTTACGCTCGCATTACACAAATGTGTAATGCGGGTCTAAGGCGTTCCTTACACAGCATTGCCGCTTTATTATTTCAGTCGTTTACTGCCGTACGCACCCTGAAAGTCGTGTGTGTCTGCAGCAAGCGCGTGTATGTGTACCTATGGACGCGCGCGCGTGTGTTGTGTAGGGGGAACGGTAGTGTAGTGCTTAGCGTGCTGCCTGTGTGTGTGTGTCTGTGTGTGTGTCTGTGTGTGTGTCTGTGTGTGTGCGTGTGTGGTGTGTGAGGAGCGGTGGGTGTAGTGCTTAACGCTACGCTGCGCTACCAACACGGCAAACCCAGTTCGATTCCCGCTCACGGCCACCACCGGTGACGATTATTTGAACCTCCCCTAGGTCGACTCTGCCTCAAACGAGTAACTGCTGTAGCGTATTAACATCGCCACTGGGGAGACAAAGGCGGCCGGCCGTGGTAGATACAAGTCCCGGGCGAAGCCGGGTAGTACAGCTAGTATAAAGTATAAATATACATATTTTAAACATTCTGGTACCCACACACACATATACGGAAATTCCTAGGGGGGCCAATCCTACTTCGTGGATTTTCACCTATCACGAGGGGTTCCGGTCCCCATTAACCGCGATAAACGAGGGATCACTGTAATGCATTTATTTTGCACGCAAGTGAGCGGTGACATCACATCTGTCATCACATCTGTGATGTCACACCCGCATGCGGCAGCGTTACGCAGTGTGCTTGCTGACGTCACCCCCCCCCCCCCAAACACTCCACGTAGGCACTGTTTTAATCCAAGACAAGAATCCAAGTCACGGGCGAAGCCGGGTAGTAAAGCTAGTCTATATATAAAAGGGAAATGTGTGGATACGTGTGTCTGTTCGAAATGTTTAGCATACTTCCCAACATGCAACACACTTGAAATTTGGCATGTGGGTAGGTTCCATACTGTACACAATGTAAAAACTATAAAAAATAGACTTGTATTTTGGGAGGGGGGGGGGGAGAAATGACCATGGAGTGTGTGGCGTCAACCCGCAACACACCTGAGTTAAGCGCTCTGCAACGCTTACCCCTACCATATGGCTCTTCGTGCGCCGTACTTCTAGAGCTGTTAACAGCGTGCCGGGAGATTTTAGGTGGCGCTTCGCTCCTGGCCGATGAAGCCATTGGCTTCTCGGAGTTTCAATACATATCCGTGTGAAGAACAGGTACAACTGCTATCTTAAATATGAAGCAGAAATTACATCTGTTTGTTTGTGTGAAGCACCAAAAACTCTCCAACGCTGAGCTCTAGCATCATTAAATTTGCACAACTTATGCTGTCTGGAATGTCTAAGTGAACGTGACTATTTTCAGCTTGCCACGTCATTCCCTTCCCGAGTTGCCAAAATCGACCTTACGTCGAAGTGGGTTAAGGTTAAATTTCCTTCAGTGAAAAACATCCGATTTAGTTAAATTGATTTCTTTCAGCTTTTTTCTTTCTTACAAGAATCAAATTTTCAGGGTTTTTCAGTGACATGGTTCACAGGTGGTGGCGTGTCCAGACCCATGCCTGGCTACCTTCATCCGCTCAGTATGAATGCTTCCTCACTCCACCAAGTAATTCATTGAGGATCAACCAACACAGCCGAGGCTGCATGTCTCCTCGTGGTGAGATGTTAACTACCTGTCCTGGCATACAGGAAGTCGTGGGTTCGATCCCAACCCTGACGCCTGCTGTATATTTGGAGCTTACGTGTCTCTCTCTCTCTCTCCCCGTGGTCGTGTGGATTTCCCTCCGGATCCCCCGGTTGTCCTCACTCCACATGCAGAGAGTGAACACCGCCACGCGTCCAGAGTGAACACCACCACGCGTCTAGAGTGAACACCGCCACGCGTCTAGAGTGAACACCGCCACGCGTCTAGAGTGAACACCGCCACGCGTCTAGAGTGAACACCGCCACGCGTCTAGAGTGAACACCGCCACGCGTCTAGAGTGAACACCGCCACGCGTCTAGAGTGAACACCGCCACGCGTCTAGAGTGAACACTGCCACGCGTCTAGAGTGAACACCGCCACGCGTCTAGAGTGAACACCGCCACGCGTCCAGAGTGAACACAGCCACGCGTCTAGAGTGAACACCGCCACGCGTCTAGAGTGAACACCGCCACGCGTCCAGAGTGAACACCGCCACGCATCTAGAGTGAACACCGCCACGCATCTAGAGTGAACACCGCCACGCATCTAGAGTGAACACCACCACGCGTCTAGAGTGAACAACGCCACGCATCTAGAGTGAACACCACCACGCGTCTAGAGTGAACACCACCACGCTGTTGACGAGCCTCACCTTGTTGTTGTAGTTGTGGGCAGGTCGCTTCTGAAAACAAGAGCGGTATAGCAGCTCAAGCGGGCTTGGCCTGGTAAAAATAAAAACTGTGTTAATATTTAAAATAAAACAAAGTTACAAAGTGGCGAGCCAGGTCAAGACAAATTCAACTTAAGCGAGAGATTTGAAGCAAACGCGATCAGGCGAGGGCAGGAGGCAAGGCCCCAAGTTGATAAGTTCCAACCTGGACATCGCTTCCATGCTCGCTGCTACTCAATTAACATCCCTACGAGAGATAGAGTGAGGCTCTACCTCAATAAACAACAACAACCACCACAACAACCACCACCACATCCACAACCACCACCACAACAACCACCACAACAACCACCACCACAACAACCACCACCACAACAACCACCACAACCACCACAACAGCGATGAGAATTTCTCACCTCGGATTTCAGTTCACGGGCGGAGCGGCAACTTCCTGGTCCCTCGCGACGTCACGCGGCAGCAGGTGACATGACGTCACTTGCGGGGTACGATGACACTCCCCTCCCACAATGAGCGGCTCTCAACTCGCGACGGCTTTCACGAATAAATTATGTTAATGAGCCGCCACGTACCGGGCGTGGCTTTGCCCAAATAAGGATTGGCACTGGGACAGATATCGGCAGCGGCCGAGTAGAGATGACGTCACGCTCAAGAGCGCGGTGGTCGGGGGTGGGTGACATGACGTCACTAGCGAGGAACACCTCCCACTGGCGTTTGACGTCAGAGAGCGGGGTCAGAGTTCAAGTTTGTTGACAGAAAGGGAGCGAGTTTCGACTTAGCCTCAAACGAGTACCCGGTGCGGTGTGTAAACAAAGCCACTAGGGAGACAAAGGCGGCCGGGCGTGGTGCTGGCCACCCACCCCCTCGTGTGCCGTGACGACCTCCATCGGTGCTGCTCGCTATGAGCAGCACTTTGTACATGTCGTTGCTTGGCTCTCCAGCACACCGCTGGCGACATTTCACGATGACATTTTCACGTCCATAAAAAGAAAATCGCCATACTAACCTAGGCCGTTTTTTGTAAAAATTGGTTCAATTTTCCTAGTCTTCTTGGTTCTTTTGGTAAAGTCACGTAGAATGCAAATAATAAAATAATAAAAATAAAAATAATTATTCTCACGACGTTTCGGCCACAACGCAAGCAGCCGTCAGGTGAAGAACAGGTCTGTCAGAAAGATTATTTCTTTCTACGTGACTTTACCGAAAGAACCAAGAAGATGAATCCCTGCAATCACTCTTCTTCCTAGCGTTGTTCCCGCTGTGGCGCAGGGTCCGCTTTTCGGCATTGTCTTCTCCATTTGGCTCGGTCCAGGGCATCTTCAGGGGATGCGTTGACCGTCTTCATGTCTTCCTTTATTCGGTCCATCCATCGCTTCTTCGGACGTCCGCGTGGACGGCGGCCCTCTGCAATCACGAACGCTTTAAATCGAAATCCAATTTTCCTAGCTTTATTTTTCAACTAAAAGTGCATTTCTTGGTTGTGTTTAGCCTGAGTAGCCTATATAGTACGTTAAAAGTGTGGAATTTCATGCATGAAATTTAGAAGTAAAAAGAAAAAGTGAATTCCTCCATTTTGTTAAGCATTAGTATGCTCTATATTACATTAAAAGTGGGAAATTTCACGATTAAATGTTCACGTCCCAAACAGGAAATCGGCATACGAACCTCTGCCGTTTTTGACTAAAATTTAACGAATTTTTACAGCTGTATTTTTTTACAAAAAGTGCATTCCTCGGTTGTGTTTAGCCTGAGTAGTCTATATATTACAATAAAAGTGAGAAATTTCACCATAAAATGATAATCACGGAGATAATCGTATTAATTTATGCGAATGCTTGCGATTATGTTAATGTGTGTAGTTATGATAACTATGCTTAGTTTCGTTATCCAGAGTTGTATCAATCGGGATAACCGATTATCTTTGATTAAACATTTATTGATTATCTTAGTGTGTTTATGTTATGTTAGGTCTCCAAATTCATATCTCAACGCAGGTTACAGTTCTTATGAATAAGACAGTTTTGCATGGACTGGGAAAGAAGCACTCGAACACTTGGTGTTAAGCAATTTTAATTCTAAACAAAATATGACACTCTAAGATGCGACTCTCAGGTTCGGAATTATCGACGGTACCATTGGGGAGATTTCTCTCAGTGAGCAATACTCTTAACCATCAAGGCTTGCGTTGTTTCACTTTGGCAACCGCACATCTCACTGCCCTGACTCACGTGGCTTCTAAAAAATAGTGTTGATGTAAAGACAGTGCATCTACTAAGGGACAAGCGGTGACAATAGGATATAAAGATTTACACTATAAGACCTCCTTTACCAGTGGCAAAATATAGTAATAGGTTTTTACCCAATCAACTTCAAGGACAATACATATCATTATCGTCATCAGAGTTGTTTCTTTTTGTTTGCATTCTGACTGCTTGTGTTGTGGTTATTGCAAACATGATGCCTTGTATAAAGGTGTCAGTTTTTGCACCAGTTGAAAGGGTTAAAACCTATTACTAGGATAGAGAGAGTTAAATAAGGGAAGGCGGGACAAAGGGTGGTGGTAGATTCACACCGAGAATAAGAGAGGGGGAGGAACGAGGTCCGGGGCTGTTTTGGTGGAATATCGGGTCGTGGCTGGTTGCTGTCTCGTCATTGTCGTTGCTATATCGTGATTCCGGGGTCGTAAGCAGTGTTAAAGGCTAAATAAAATAACCCTCTACAGTCTACAGAGTCTGGAGTCATTAGAATTGTAACGATTCATAATCTCACGAGCTCATAGTGGGTTTGTTCAATTATTTATCTATTTCCATACTTGTATATTGCTACTAGCTGTACTACCCGGCTTCGCCCGGGACTTGTATCTACCACGGCCGGCCGCCTTTGTCTCCCCAGTGGCGATGTTAATACGCTACAGCAGTTACTCGTTTGAGGCAGAGTCGACCTAGGGGAGGTTCAAATAATCGTCACCGGTGGTGGCCGTGAGCGGGAATCGAACTGGGTTTGCCGTGTTGGTAGCGCAGCGTAGCGTTAAGCACTACACCCACCGCTCCTCACACACCACACACGCACACACACAGACACACACACAGACACACACACAGACACACACACACAGGCAGCACGCTAAGCACTACACTACCGTTCCCCCTACACAACACACGCGCGCGCGTCCATAGGTACACATACACGCGCTTGCTGCAGACACACACGACTTTCAGGGTGCGTACGGCAGTAAACGACTGAAATAATAAAGCGGCAATGCTGTGTAAGGAACGCCTTAGACCCGCATTACACATTTGTGTAATGCGAGCGTAAACACACAAACACACACGAACACATACACAATACACACACACATACATGCAGACACACAGACAGACACATAACACACATACATACACACACATACAAACACAGAAACACATACACACACATACATAGACACACACATACACATCCACAGACGTACATACACACATACATACAGGCACGCAGACATACACATAAACACATACAAAAAAACCCACATACATACACACACACATACATACACACAAACACATGCACACACATACATACACACATGCATACAGACACACAGACATACACATAAACACATACACACATACACATGACCCGGCTTCGCCCGGGACTTGGATCCACCACGCCCGGCCGCCTTTGTCTCCCCAGTGCCGATGTTAATACGCAATACCAGTTACTCGTTTGAGGCTGAGTCGACCTAGGGGAGGTTCAAATAATCGTCACCGGTGGTGGCCGTGAGCGGGAATCGAACTCGGTTCGCCGGGTTGGTAGCGCAGCGTAGCGTTAAGCACTACACCCACCGCTCCTCACACACCACACACGCACAGACACACACACAGACACACACACAGACACACGCAGACACACACAGACAGACACAGACAGACACACACACACACAGACACACAGACAGCACGCTAAGCACTACACTATCGCTCCCCACACACCACACACGCACACACACAGACACACACACAGACACACACACACAGACACAGACAGCACGCTAAGCACTACACTACCGTTCCCCCTACACAACACACGCGCGCGCGTCCATAGGAACACATACACGCGCTTGCTGCAGACACACACGACTTTCAGGGTGCGCACGGCAGTAAACGACTGCAATAATAAAGCGGCAATGCTGCGCGAGGAACGCCTTAGACCTGCAACACATTTGTGTAATGCGAGCGTAAACACACAAAGACATACAAACACATACACACACACACATACACACAAACACATACACACACATACATACACACAGACATACACATACACACAAACACACACATACATACACACAAACACATACACAATACACACAGACATACATGCAGACACACAGAGACACACATAACACACATACATACACAGAAACACATACACACATACAGACACACACACATACATACACACAAACACATACACACACGTACATACACACATGCATACAGACACACAGACATACACATAAACACATACACATGACCCGGCTTCGCCCGGGACTTGGATCTACCACGCCCGGCCGCCTTTGTCTCCCAAGTGCCGATGTTAATACGCCACACCAGTTACTCGTTTGAGGCTGAGTGGACCTAGGGGAGGTTCAAATAATCGTCACCGGTGGTGGCCGTGAGCGGGAATCGAACTCGGTTCGCCGGGTTGGTAGCGCAGCGTAGCGTTAAGCACTACACCCACCGCTCCTCACACACCACACACGCACAGACACACACACAGACACACGCAGACACACACAGACAGACACAGACAGACACACACACACACACACAGACACACAGACAGCACGCTAAGCACTACACTACCGCTCCCCACACACCACACACGCACACACACAGACACACACACAGACACACGCAGACACACACAGACAGACACACACACACACAGACAGACACAGACAGCACGCTAAGCACTACACTACCGTTCCCCCTACACAACACACGCGCGCGCGTCCATAGGTACACATACACGCGCTTGCTGCAGACACACACGACTTTCAGGGTGCGTAAGGCAGTAAACGACTGAAAAAATAAAGCGGCAATGCTGTGCGAGGAACGCCTTAGACCAGCAACACATTTGTGTAATGCGAGCGTAAACACACAAACACATACAAACACATACACACACATACACACAAACACATACACACACATACACACACATACATACACACAGACATACACATACACACAAACACACACATACATGCACACAAACACATACACAATACACACACACATACATGCAGACACAGACAGACACATAACACACATACATACACACACATACATACACAAAAACACATACACACACATACATAGACACACACATACATACACACAAACATATGCACACACGTACATACACACATACATAGAGACACGCAGACATACACATAAAGACATAAAAAAAAACCCACATACATACACACACACATACAC